AGTGAGGGGGAGGAGGTGCTCCAGGCACCGGAGCAGAGATTCCCCTGCAGCCCGTGGCGAAGTCCATGGTGAGGCAGGCTGTCCCCCTGTAGCCCATGGAGGTCCACGGTGGAGCAGATATCCACCTGCAGCCTGTGGAAGACCCCACGCTGGAGCAAGGGGATGCCCAAAGGAAGCTGTGACCCCATGGAGAACCTGCAGTGGAGCAGGCTCCTGGCAGGACCTGTGGACCAGTGGAGAGAGGAGCCCACACTGGAGCAGGTTTCTGGCAGGACTTGTGACCCCACAGGGGACTCACGCTGGAGCAGTCTCTTCCTGAAGGGCCGCACCCCATGGAAAGGACCCACGCTGGAGCAGTTTGTGAAGAACTGTAGCCTGTGGGAAGGACTCACGTTGGAGAAGTTCGTGGAGGACTGTCTCCCGTGGGAGGGACCCCACATTGGAGCAGAGGAAAAGTGTGAGGAGGAAGGAGCAGCAGAGACAAAGTGTTATGAACCGACCACAACTCCCATTCCCCATCCCCTTGCAGTGCTCGGGGGGAGGGAGATAGAGGAGCTGGGAGTGAAGTTGAGTCTGGGAAGAAGGGTAGATGAGGGGGAAGGTGATTTTAGTTTTGTTTTCAATTTTCACTATCCTACTCTGTTATTAATTGGCAATAAGTTGAATTAATTTCTCTAAGTCAAGCCTGTTTTGCCCATGACAGTAACTGGTGAGTGATCTCCCAGTCCTTATCTCGACCCACAACCTTTTCCATCATATTTTCTCCCCTACCCTATTGAGGAGGGGGAGACAGAGAGCGTCTTTGTGGGTACCTGGCAGCCAGCCAAGGTTAACCCACCACAAAAATCAACAATCAGAATGTTTCCTTGCGCTGAGATCATTCACAGATGGGTCTTGAACCAACTTCTGATCTGTGTGCCTGGCTAGCCCGACCTACCAGTCCTTCATACCAATCTTGCAAAAACACTCTCAGTTCTCTGGCTACTCTACCAGGAAAACCCTGACACAGTCACTGATGTATCCTCCCCCCAAAAACAGACAGGCCTAGGTAGGCTGGAGTTCTATAGCTAGAATATGATCTTTACCTGTTCCTACAGCAGCCTCCCTGGAGCCGTTCCCCAGCAAGGTGTGACCCCAGGGCTGCTCCTCTGCCTGCGGACAGATCACCTTCAGAAATGTAAAGGGTAGATCTAGGGGAAACTCATGAGATCAGCACAGAATCTGCACCACTGCCTCAGTGCTGGGTCACTCCTGTTCTTGAGACTAAGACAGTACTCACAGCCACCTTGCCTACTTTAACTACTGCATTGCTCAGGCTGTCCTAAGTCCAGGCAGGCAAGAGCCCTCTGCTCGAGACGTAAGGACAGTCACCAGGCAAACAACAGCCACTCTGGTCCCTGGCTGTAGCTTCGGGCCATTGTTCATGCGTGCCCTCCACCACAGCAGGCTTGCGACAGCCGGTCTCAGCTCTGTTCCAAGGACAGCACGTCAGGGCCTTCTGTCCTGCTTGAAATCCTCAAAGCAGCAGCAAAAGGCACTGGCTCCCGGTATGCAAGCGACAGGCTGCGCTGCACGGAGCAGCAGAGTGAGGCTGACAGTACCCTCTGTTGGCAACAGTGAGAACACCAGCCTGACAGGTGACCGCTGGCTGACAGGGTTCAGCAACACCCTAATCAAAGAGCATTTCCCTCCACAAACAGCCCAGCAGCCCACCTGAATTCACCCCTCTGTCTAACCTCAGCTCCAGCAAAAAGCATCCTGGACCTGATAGTCAATTAATCTCTCGCTGAAGATATGCATCCTTACCCAGTCCATACTCCACAGACTCCGGATGGTCATCATCCCCCTCCTCACTGACCTTCTGCAGGTGCTGCAGGTAGGCATCCGTGTGGAAGCTCGCCATCTCCTCCATGGAGGCCACTTTTGGCTTGACTATCCTAGGCAGAGAGGAGGAAGGGAGCACATCAGGACAAGAGGCTCCAAGGTTCGGCTGGAACGCCCACCTTTAACCTGCTCAGACTAGGAGCCTTCTTTTGGCAATTACCGTTGAAAAAGTAAACAAACACCCCCCCTCCCCTCCTGCCAAACTGTCACTTTGAGTGAGAAAGCCACTCAGCTGAGCTGGAGTAGGCCTTTCCCCCAGTTTGGCACTGTCTGCTGTGCCCACCCCAATGAGGAACATCTACAGGGAACATCTACAGGCGCTGCCTGCATTAACCTTTCCACTTTGCTTCAAGTCTTTTCCCTTTTTTGTGCGTTCTCCCAGTTTGAGCAATCTCCAGTAGATCCAACATTCTGGTTACACACAGAGGAAATAACAGAGTGAAAATGTCCAGGCCCAGCCCAGTGTTGCAGCAGGACACCAGCCCACTGAGTCAAGAGCTGAGCAGCACCTCTTACATGCTCTTAACTCCACCTGCATTCAAAGCAGAGACCGTCTCTGTCCTCAGCAACTCGCATATCACCTTTCCCGGATTTGGGCACTTTGCGATCTGCCTAAATAAATCTTGTGACACGTTGAAGCCCTCTCCAAACCTCAGACTCTGGGGACACACGCCAGCAATGCAGTACAGCTCCATCGCTACTGGAAGAATGCAAGAAGCTCCCAGCTCCAGGCTACCCGGGCACTTCTCACCCCACGCCAGGGAGTCCACCTCTGTAATCGTACCTGCAGCCACTTCCCAAGCACACTCTACCAAAATGACCAGAAAGAAAAAAAATCCTTTAAAAAAAGTTGCAGTAGGACTTTCTGGCCCCGCTGAACTGGAGTGTGAGATTTTTTAAAGATTTTATGAGATGCTACATAAGGGAGGCTGAGCTAAGCCTCTTCTTTCCCTTCATATTCCCCAGTGTCAAGAGCCTAATGGGGCAGGAGGGCTCTCACTCTTCCGCCTCAGACCTCATCTTGTCTTCTCTCCTGAACAGCACCAAGACCTCACAAAAACGTTCCCAAATCAATCACAACACAGCAAAACAACACGGTCCCTCTCAGCATCAGCACTGGCCAGTGGATTCGGGGCAGTGCCAACAAGGACGGTTTCTACATCCTCACTTCTGCTCAGAGCCACGAGAGCAGCGGGTGACAGCATGCTCGATGCAGAAAGCACAAGGCAATTTGTACTCCATCGGACCAGGAAGGGTAACTGTAAATTACACCTGCCATAATTACCATAATCTTGTCCATTTAGCAAACAAGCAGACTTTCCTTACATCCTAGAAATACACACTGTGTCGGCTCCTATAATCATGCTGCCAGCAGGGACAATATAAAACCTGCAGTTACTCAGTATCTTCCAAACCTTAGCAGAGAAGAAAATATTCTCTTCACAGAAAATGGGAGCACTTACTTCATCTGGTCAAGTAAGGAATACGCTTCAATCAATGAATGTACCATACTGGCCTGAAAAAAGAAGACGACGACCATGAGAGCAGCTCTAGTGTAGGTGACAGAAGCACAGCAACTGGGGGCTGAATGACCTGCAGCAAAGGTGTAACTGTGACTTCTCCCAGCAGCACAGCTAAACTGGCACCAGCCTGAGCAGTGTCCCTGGACAGGCTCTCCCCCACGGAGGGCGTGCAGCACAGCAGGGGCTGTGTGGGGGACTTCTCGGTGTGTCAGGAAGAGGCACAGCAGCGCACAGCTTCCCGGTGGGGGGGCGCCTGGGAAGCGCCACTTCTGTGTCCCAGCCACCCAGCTCTCTCTCTGGGCCCCCACTCCTCCTGCCTGGGCCCCCCCTCCCCACCGCT